ATTTTAAATAGTAAAAACAATGAATTTTATAACAAATGAAAGCTCGTGAAAAATGGGATTCAGGAGTATAACTGTCCATTCATAATATGAGAATACGCTATAGAATTACAGATAGTTTCAAATTTTAGATATATAATTGGATATTTGCACGGATAGTCAACTATTAGAACATCAGGTTTCTTCGTCTTTCACACTTTATAAAGCATTCTTCTCTGATCATTTTGATAAAAAAAATATTTTAAATTTGATCAATAAATAACGATGCTATGGTCAAAATACTCATAAACATGTTAGCTCTGTCAGCTACAGCAGCTTGAAATTGTCTGCATTTTGATCCTCGCGTCGTTATTTATTGATCAAATTTAAAATATTTTTTTTTATCAAAATGATCAGAGAAGAAAGCTCTATAAAGTGTGAAAGACGAAAAAACCTGATGTTCTAATAGTTGACTATCCGTAATTCTATACACTACTCTCATATTATGAACGGACAGTGATATTCTTAAATCCCATTTTTCACGAACTTTCATTTGCTATAAAAATTCATTGTTTATACTATTTAAACTTAAAGCGCTATCCCTCTGAAAAAATATTATTTTCAATCCTGTATAATTATTGAGCAAATCTCTCCGGTTGTATGTTATTAACAAAACGACGGAGAGCACTTATTTAGCTTTAGTTCAACAGCAAAATTCAATCTATAGGAATTAATAAAAGATAAATTTTTACTTTAGATCAGTATTTTTTTTCAGAATAAGCAAGAAAGGACCAAAAGTTGAGACTTTCTCTCCCTTCCTTTTTTACCTATCATGACAACTGACTACGAAAAAATAGGACATCGGGTACAGAATGTTGTAAGAAACTCTAGAAAATCATCCCTGAATCTAATAAGATCATATAGTTCTTATATGATTTTGCAAGAATTCTACAATATCTTGCAGTTGGATTGTTTGATCTGGATACTTTTGTTTGTACTTTTACATGCGCTTAAGATTGAGTTAGAGTGTCTCAATCGGCAAGAAGAATGAATACACAACAGGAATAAAGGTGAGTAGTAATGCAATTCAACTCGATATTATTCAGTAGACGAAGATAAAAAGTAAATGTTTCTGATCGAAATAAAGAATATTTTCTGTTTTTCAGTTTGTATAATTTCTTTCGGACAATACACATTTTTTAATGTTATGGAACAATGTTGATGAAATTAGAACTGATTTGAAAGCATAGTTCTTTATACAGACAAGACGGTATATTTTGAGCAGTTCTGTATCTTTTGAAATTTCTACTCAGTGAAAAAGTTTCTAGTGTTGTCATCTTAATTAAGAAGAACTAAATATATGATTGAGATTAGCATGAAGAATAAGAAAAATATCTGAAACACATTGTGTAATTGTTTCCAAAAACGTATTGAACAAATTCAATTAATCTATTCTGTCCTATCAAAAATCTGCAGACTAGGGTAGATTACAGGCAAAGTAGCTTTGTTTCAGCCTGGTCTACGTCTCCTCCAGGCCAGAACAAGTTATAAAAAAGTGGCCTGTTGATATATCTAATATAGACAAGTAAAAAAGATTATAGAATATCATATATTAACCATTGCCATATCTATTTATTAACATTGTACATATTACGTGATTCGATCTGATGCCATAGGAAAAACAGACGATTCTAAGGATTATCAATGAAATGTTGCTTATATTGTGAAAAGAATTGGGTATTTAGTATATTTTCAACCATGAGTTTTGTTTAATTTCGAAAATTTTGTGTCAAAAAGAATTTAAGTGCAGTACAATTAAAACCTAGTATAATATTTCTTCTAAAATTAAAAAAATGATCAGATTTTTTGAATACTACATCCATATATTCATTGAATGGATTATTGAAATTTCGAAAATCTTATTAATACCTTAAATAATATGAGTAATTCTAGTAATTGTCACTATTGTAAATACCAAAATTTAAAAGATAAAATTTACCCTGTATGGTTTATTTATACATTATTTAATACTATCAAATGCTTACAAGGTTTTTGTTTCACTTGTTAATGCAATAAACCCTTATTCTTATTCTCATTGACAACATAATCTGATAATCTATTTTTTTAACGGTTGTTTTACTTAATTAATAGGCAGCATCATTATTATTGAAACTATTAGTAAGGATATTATTGTTTAAAATGATTCAAAAATAAGATGTTAAAGATATCAAATAAAAAATTTCTAACTATAGAATACGTAATTAAAATATATACAAGCTGATTACTGCTTGATCAGCAGTTTCTTCGTAAACTGACATAAAAACATCACTCATGTCATTGCTACGTATAATAGTATTTGTAACAAATTTCATGATATATGACTAAATTCTTGACCCCAATAAGAAATAGATTAAATAGAAAGAATATAGTGCGGCGAAAAAAAAAAATGACTGTTTTATCGAATTATATGAAGAAAACTATCAAAATTGAGTAACTCAATCTAATAATTCTTAATTTAAGAAATAAAATTAGTATTATCTTAAGCAATAGAATCAAATGTCTCCATCTATTACCAGTCATTTGGTTTCAGTCTATTTTATTTTTTTTTTTAGCAACAAAAGTTTTCTAAGTCAAATCATTTGTATTGAAAATTCAGTATATAAAATCGTAACTATTAAACAGAGAATTAAGCTACTCTTACCGACTTGTCAAAGAAGATGTCAATAATTGTTGATAATATAATGATTGATGAAAACAATCTGTTATATAATTACATATATTTTGACAAAAAAAATCTGTCTTCATTATTCTTCTCTGAAATAGAAAGAGTATTGCAAATAAATAAAATAAACATAATTAAAATTAAAAAATAAAACTTATTCGAAAAGTAACTTGATCAATGAAGAAAATCTGTATGTCTTTAGCTATGATCCTATTCTGTAAAAAGATTAATTCCTATAAAAAATAATTCACAAAAGAAAAACTAAATTCTATCTGTTTTGATTGATCTTTATTTTATGACATAATTAAAGTCAAACATTTTCAAACTAAAGATAAGTATGAAAAGTTTTATTGTACTACATAGAACAAACCTTATCTCTTTGAATAAAAGTTCAAATACAAATGACAATATACAAACTATCGATTAAATTGTATTTTCCATATGAAATATCTTGTCTATGAAAAATTCGATCAAATCTCTAGAAAATTTTTTTTTGACATTCTTTTGTTAGACAAGCAAACAAAGCAAAAATAGAAATTGCTGATAAGAAGTTTTTTTTTCGCTTTTATTTTATTTTATTTTTTTTTTTTGTCAAGCAATTATCTTTGTATCTTGGGATTTCAAGTATTGTATGTTTAAAAGATGCTCAAAGAAGTCAAGAGAAAGAAGAGCTGCTCTTGGGGCATAAATTTGTCATTTTATGACGTTTATAGTTGATCTGACGTGCTGTTTTTTCTTCCCTTAATGATACTTAAATGAGAAAAAAAAAAAAGATAACAATTATTTCGAACTACTAGTTGCAGATGAAAACTATTTGTTCTCTTTCGATGATTTTATCTTTAATCTATTGATATCAATGCATAGATTAAAATGTACATGCATCAAATAGAAAGATTTCTGAATTGTTTTGATCAAAAGTCACTTTCGACTGATTATTAACACATCATATAACTCATATAATCATTTCTGATGTTTGATCATAGTTGAACAAGTGCATCAAACAACACTAGAAAAGGCCATTGGTAAATAGAGCTTGTTGACATTTGTTAATTTTATTTGATGTTCGTATTATATATTTATGTTGTTCTAATTTTTTTTTTTTTGTAAAGGATGATGATTAATTCTTTCAATATGTATTACTAACATTTAAGCAACGCAAATTTTCTCGAACCAAAAAGAATATGACAAAGAAGAGAACAAAAACAACAATAATATCATCAATAAGAAAGAAGAAGATGAATCGTATTGATGATTATGGCAATGTAGCAGTAGTACCACAAGCATTTTCTAATTAATAATAGAAGGCCAAGTTGTTGGTCTTGACAAGCAAAGGAAGAAAAAAAAGCAAATCGTTTCAAAATGTCTTTCTTCGCATTTTTCTGCTCTTCTCATAGCCATCCTCCCCAAAGTCTCTTTCTCTTCGATTGATGACTCATAAATACACGGAAAAGACGATGACGATGACAAGAAAGCAATGTGGCATTCTTTCGCATCGTTAAGCAATCGTGATGATAATTCGCACAATGGACGACTGCCATAGTCAGAATAACATCAATAATAAGACAAAAAAAACGACAACGTATGCTTGGACGCTAAATAGAGGAACAAGTTAAGTGTTGTTAATATAATAACAGGTAAATAACATTAGAGCTAATTCGTTTTGTTATTTAATAATAGGCTTTTTTCTGCTGAAACATAACAGAAGCATTCATTCACATTGTTCGTAATCGAAGTTTTGTCTACTCATATAAAACATATTGGTACTTGCAGTTTCCGAGAAACAATTTTGTTTCATACGGGAATAATAACAAATATAAAAGACAAAAAGAGAGAATTCCCTTTTGTGGCTTATTCTTTACCTGCTATCCTCTTTCTTTTTTCATTTAGTTTTGGCCCCTAACAGCATCGTTCAATAATGCACATAGTTACGTTTGTCACTCATCAATGCTCGTCGTCGATTTAGATATATATATATATATGTGTATGGTGTGCGTGTGTGCTCATAATAGAGTTGTAAAGATGATCGATGCGGCGAATTGTGGTTTTTCTATTGAGCGTCGATAATCTAAACAACAACGGTACACTCGCTTCTTTGCTTATTCACTCGTCTTCCTTTTCCTTTCTTTTTCTTCATCTACGTAAAAAAACTGACTGTTAGATAGACATTCGATGAACAAATTTGTTCCTCGCATGTGAGCACATATATACTATCTGCTCATTATAGTTATTCGTATTCTCATTAAATACTATTCAAGAAAACGATTATCGCCTTTTTATGATACATTCCGTCAATTTAAATCAAATGATCGGGTATGTATTCTATTGACAAAAATATATCGATTGATAGAAAGTGAAGATGACATGATAGTTTGAGATAACATCATTCACAAGACTATGAATATTTATTAAACCTTGTCAATCAAAAACTCATTTATTTTTCTTTTCTTTTCTTATTTCTAGTTATTCACTTCTCCTTCTTTTCTTCCTATGGCCATCAAATATAATCGCCTTAGTGAATTATAAAACTGCTTGTGAATTATTGAAACTTCCACGTGATTGTCATTGTCAACGTACACGTGGTGTACCAATATCATCATTAAATGAAACACGTTTACGATGTCGTCAATTTACTAAAATAACAACAGATTATCGTTGGTCTATTGTACCATATGATCGTTTAGCATTTGAAACTTCGAATGATAATTTAACATTATATCGTTTTGCATTTGCTGATATTCTAGCCCGAACATTACGTTTTAGTGTTCGAAATCTTTTTTTAAATGATCATGCATTTGAAAATGCTTATATTGGTCAATTAGCTATATCATATACAGATAATTATGGTTTAATAAATTTTGAATTAAATGGACAAATATTTTATGGTACAACAATAACAAATATATATATTAAATCAATCGATTTTCAAACACAAATATCTGAAATTATATTATCAAATGCAAAAGTTCATACATTGCTAATTGAATCATCAAAATTTTATGGTTTTACAAATAAAAAATTATTATTTAGTCATCAAAATGAAACAAATCATCAAAATAATAATCAATATGATAATTTTCTTGAATATGATACAATGTTAACAACAAATTTATTATATCAAACAAGTAGTCAATCATCACCATTAAAAATTCGTCGAACAAAAAATAAGAAAACTTTACGTCAAATATTTGAAACAAATGATGAAAATTCATCATTACCTGAACAAACTGTTATGATTAATATAACATCAACTCCTCTTCCGACTTTTATAACTATTTATACAATTATATCAAGTATTAATACAACAAATTTAACAGAAAATTATTTTCCAAATAATTTAGAATATAGTCAAACAGATGAAATTGAATTAAGTCATAATTATATTTATTCAATAGATGCATATGCTTTTCGTCATTTACAATTCTTTGAAGGACGATTAATATTAACATATAATCATATTCAGTATATATCTCCATATGCATTTTCTTATTTATATTCATTAAATAATTTATCATTAGCTAATAATTATATTCAAAATTTGTCATCAATACATTTTGAAAATTTAAATCAATTATATGAACTTGATTTAAGTTTTAATCAAATGTATCATTTAAATCATGATACATTTCAATATTTATATAATTTACATATATTACGTTTAAATAATAATCCATTAAAATTAATTGATTCAAATGTATTTACAAATTTAACTCGTTTAAAAGAAATTCATTTACAAGGTGTACCAATAATTCAATTAATTGATCCACAATATTCACGTTGGATTTGGAATTTAGCTAGTTTACATGTGAATTATTTACTTAATACAAAGTAAGATTTATATGAGAAAAAAAAAACGGACTTTGTTTTACTTGGAGAAAATGAGAAATAACCTTATGTTCTTAATAACAACAGTTATGTTATTATATTTAGCTAAACAAATTAAACATCTCTTTTATTGCCTGTGTTATGAATTTTTTTTGGTCGATTTACAGTACAAGGACACATTGTTTACCAGCTAATAAATATACTGCCTACAACATACTTCTCTATATAATNGTAGGCGAGAGCGTTATTGAATTGGTTTAGCAGTAACTCGTTCCAAGAACAAGCTTCCAAAAAACAAATTTCACCATGATGAGATCTGTAGTCTTAGCTAAAAACACAAATTAAACCCTCTTCTTATTTAAAGCAAGAAAATTTTTAGGAATGTAAGCTTTTTGGAGTAGTTCTACTGAAAGGAGTCCTTTTATATGAGTACGTTACCACGTCTTTCTATTCTTGTAAAGTCGTTACAGTCTGACCAAATGAAATGAAAATTTTATTGAAACTAGAACTTTCATATATTTCGAGGCAGTGTAAATTCCAGCTCGTTGTCAAATTATGTTACTGAGTCATGACAATCTGAGAGTCAAAAATAGACGAATGCATTACCCGTGAAGAGACGGACATATAGACAGAATTCCACGGTGTCAATTCGTTTTCTGACCAAGATTACTCGTATCATATAGGCCATGATAAAATTTGAGTTTTCTGAAAATAGTTCGTGGTCTCAGCTTATTTCTGCTCAAATATTTCACTTTTACCACATTGTTCAATAGAAAGCCGAGGTTCCACACAGGTTCACTTAGAAAATGGGCTCTTCGTAGAGAATAGTCGAAATGAAACTACTTAGTGTATGCTGAAGATTTCAAATTTCTTGATTGCTTTTATTCGAAAACATGAACATCGAGCATTGTGGGTTACAATTAATATGAAAAAAACAAAATTTTTCTTGTAGTGAAATCTTTGGACAGAAAGAACTCAAATATCTAAAAAAAAAACACTGTTTTGTACTGAAAGATGTCATTAAAACTAAATATTTCAGCAGAAACAAACAAGAGACACGAACTCTTTTCAAGGTATTCAAAGGTCATTAGGACTTACATGATGAACATAGTCCTAACTCGAAAACACATTGACATCTGAGAATCTTGTTTCGTTAATATTATCAAAACTGAGTAGAAAATATTGTTTCTTTTTTAAATTGCTTTTGAATATATATCGATACAGACACCAATAAATACGGACTGAACTCTAGCTTTCTGGTTATATCCAAAATTCAAAAGAAAATAGTAATTTCTTCATTATTCTTAGTAGAAGCATATAAAAATAGAGCCCTTTTCTTTGTCAAAAGCTTAGTCAAATAGCATCAATAAATATCCGCAAAAAAAATGTATCAATCATGACTTGTCAATTCTTTTAATCTTAACCATCCAATCTAATTATTCATCAATGTGAATTCAAAATTATATCTTGATATGAGATGTTCTTTCAACTAGAACCATAGTTATTGATACACCAAGTTGCAAAAATAAATACTCAAAGAAATCATTGAAAATACATAGCAATATTTTCAATTAGTTAAGTTACGTAGTAAAGCTCTCAACACATTAGAAGACCCAGGATCTTCTATTTTGTTTTATCGTTCATAAGTTACAAGGGAGATTTTCTATTGAGTTCCTAAAAAAGTCTTATTTTTTGATAGTCTCTTCAACAATTCTTAGTTTCAATATAATTGTGTTCAATGCATCGTTAGTAATCAAGTTTATTTCAGGTATTCTATACACATAGAATGAGAAGGAAACAGATAATATCCCGTGAAAAAAAGGGAAAAAATCGTTCGGGTAAGAAGAGTGTATTTTGAAACAATACAATCAATATAGCCTAACATCTTGGTAACATACATAATAACATTCTTGTTTTCTAAAGAATAAGATCTGTCATTGACAATTATTTTTTTTGTGGAAATTATTTAAGTAAGTTGCTTATGTTGAGGTTGGAATAGTTTAGATAGAATTGGTTCAGAGTGGAATCTACAATTAGTATATTTAATTAATTTCAGGCTAATTTCAATAAGTATGGTTGTCTGAGAAGAAACAATTTTAAGAATACATAGCAATTGAGTAAATGTTTAACGTTTTTGTGTATGTTTCGAGAATAAGTATGTTATTAGGCTCAAAATGATCATTTCATTCAGTAAATCTCGACGTGTATATCGAAAGATATGTTTTCTTCAATTACACAAAAGTAAGAAGAGAAGACATTTTTTGTTAATACACAACAGGATTTTATCGTATATATTTCTATTTTAGAAAGATCTTTTCATGTGTGACTCGAAACAATGTGCACTGCACCAATTAGGTGGTATCATCAATAAGGGAACTAATCTTTCGTATAGAGAACCTAAAGAACTTTTTCTTTTTCAGAGTATGCTACAAAAAAGAGTACTGAAGTGGCTGCCATAATATGTTTTCAATAAAGAAATGCATTTTTCAATAGACTGTTATTTCCTATAGGCTTTTTTTTTCAAGACTTTTGTAACTCGAAATTACCATGTCGTTATGAGAATGGAAGCAAAAAAAATCGCTCATACTGGACGTAGATATTATTATGAGCGTAAATATTAAAAAAGAATCGATTCTGCGAGAAGATTTTTTAATGTGTCGAAAACTTTGCAATTCTCTTCTTCTCACTATGATATATGGAAGAGAAAGTACAGTTCAACGTTTTCGATGAAAATAATAGAGTTATTTGTTTTTCTTTAGATAGATTATTTATATTGAACTTCCTTTATCCAATAATTTTCAATTCAACATAAATAGTTTTCATCAAAACGCAATATTTTTCAAATAAATTATAACTACTTTAACAATAACTTTTTCTCTTAAAACATGCAAAAAAAACACAAAAGAAATTCTTAAATTTCTAATTTGATTTCTTATTTTTCTCATCTATGATGTTTCATCATTCCTTAACTATAAAATAATTATACACAATTATTTAATTCAACACTAATTTGATAAAAGTATGTCGTTTATAAAGTATATGATGTATAAAAAAAAAAAAAAAAGAAAAAAAGTTTAAATTTGGTTCGATATTTTATTGTATTATTTTATACATAATTTCATTGTTCAATATCAATAAATTGATCTTCATCAATATCGTCATCATCCGTATAATGCATTGATTGAGATGTATTTTCATCATCATCTGATGTACATGAAGATGAGACCGTTAAAGTAGTTATTTGTTTTTCATTTTCAATTCTTTGTAATTCTGCATAAGATGGTATCGAATTTTTTTTAGGACGACCTTTTGGTTTTGTTGGTGCTTCTTTACATCCTTGTTGTAATACCTGAGCAAAAGAATAAGATCATAAATATAGATATACTAATATTTGCGTGAGAGTTAAGGATGGGTTGGTGTAAACTCCATAACTCGATAATGACAACTGTTATCGACCTACTTTTTTCAATAAGCGAAATGGCAGAACTCCGGATTCATTTTTGTCTGATAGTATACAGGATAAAATTATTTTAAAATCTATCATTTTCTCAAAGCATTCAAGAAATATGCATGAAAAAAAAAGTGTTCTGTTTCAAGAAAATTTTGATTTCGACGTGTGCTTAAGATAGAAAGTCTTCAGATCTAAGTTCAGGACTTGATTTATATAATTATCTTTTTATCTATCAATATTAAGGAAACGGAACACTTGCTGCCAGTGTTAAGTAATTAATCTTACACATAATTGTTCTTTATTTTTCGTACACAACAAAGTTGTCGAACACATTAACGGACATAATAGACGAAACATTAATGAATTAATAAAACAGTAATGAACATCTTAAGAGGGAGAATATTTCGAGCTTATTAATACTGCTAGAAAATCTTATCGAATTATTCGCTAGCAAATGTATTACAAAGCGTGAAAGCATAACCAAAGTTTTTTTTTCTGATCAGGGATTTGAATCAAAAAAAGATTGATCGCGTACATTACTAATATATACATACTTGCTTTTTCCATTTCATTCGACGATTTTGATACCTGAAAAACAGAAAAAAAAGTGATTATTATTTCCAAATAATAATAAATGTTTTATAGATACCAAGTTTTAACTTGTAATTGAGATAAATGTAACATATCAGCAAGTTCAATACGATCTGGTGTTGATAGATATTTTTGTGTTTCAAAACGTTTTTCAAGACCAAGTAGTTGAGCATCTTTAAAAGAAGAAGAAAAAATTCAACGAAATTTTTTATTTTTACTCTTAATTTTTACCAGAAAAAACTGTTCGTGTTCGTCGACAACGTCGATGATGAATAAATGTATCCAAATTAGGATATGTTGAATTTAATTGTAATGTTGATAAATGACAATTATGTAAATTTGAATTACAATGTGTTGATCGATGTTCTAAGAAAAAGAATTTTTTTTTTTTTTTAAATTATTTTCTTAAAACTCTTAAAATCTGTTACCAGAACATGAATGTTTATTCGATGTTGAAAATGAAAGATAGGATGTTGATAATAATGATGGAAGTTGATAAGATCGTTGTATAAATGTTGGATAAATTGATGTTTTTGATTTTTCATATTTAAGAATATCATCAATTGAAAATGGTAATGGTTTATCCGTAAAAGTCATTTTCTATATTATACAAAACAAATTGAATCTCAAACTATTTCTTATTATTATCTACGACTAAGAACCAATGAGAGTATAACAATGATCGTTTGCATATCCTGCTGAGTAAAACACAGTTAGAGAGAAAAAAAGGAGAAAGAGAGATATCTCATTATTTTCTGAGAATCATCGTTGTTGGATATTATGAATGATAACGATTGGATGAATGTTAGAAGAGAAGAGAGATATTATTTTTAGAACGTATGTGCTTATGCTTGAATATAAACATCAACCAGTAGTATACAATTGATTGTTATCATTCTGTACATATAATGATAGATTAAGACAATACCTGGTTATATAGTCGAGATGACAGTTCTTTCATTTAAAGGTTACCCAAATACCAACAAGTTCCAAATTGTTCTTTCGATAGTAATGTCTGATCGAAAGACGACACACGGAGATAAGAGAGCGTAATTGCATGTGTGAATATCATATATTGATAGCAAACATATTGTATTAACCACATATTAAAAAAAAGAAAAAGAAATCTTAAATTATAACAGTAATTAATTACTTGTTCATCAATACAAATATTCGAAATTAGTTTTTTAGATAAACAAACATTGATATCAAAAGTTTTCATGATTGGTTTTTCTAAGATTTTAACATTGAATGAAAGAGAATTGTTCTTGAATTCACTGGTACAACAACATTGATCCTATTGGAATGTAAAATTATTTTTGTAAATCTATTTGGCTTCGTGAAATAAAGTATAATACACTTCAATTTTAGATACTTTAGAACAATGCTCACGGACGTAAATAATGGAGAACGTGTGAGGCGTAGTGTTTCTCCCTGGTTTTGAAACTTGAGCGTGCTGCACCCTCCTTCTGCTTTCAGTGGTGAGCTACGCCCTTTGCAATCCCATTATATAGTTCTCATATATTTCATATGATTAATATTCTAAGTAATTAAATGAATCCTATATTTCACAAAAAAAAACAAAAAATAATTTTTTTTTTTTTTATTTGTCTTTTTAACATATGAAAAATAATGAAATTCTTTCTTGCTGTGTGTAAACTGTAATCAACTATCATCATTATCAATATGCAAGTGATTAAAAATTGAAGTATGATGTTATATGTTATTGTTTGATTATGATCCAATCGTCAATATTTTTATAAGCTATGAATCGTACGTCACCTTCGACAATCTATTATCATTCATCATTTCTATCTCAGCTTGCCGTATGATTTGATTATTTTTTGATTATGTTGTCTCTTCGTCATAATATCATCCAATAGTAATCAGAGAATCAATGATAACATTTGATGCATATCCTATCCAATAAAAATAGCAAGAATATCAACAATAATTAATTGAGACAAAAAAAGAAGAAGAATAAAAAGAAAAAGGGAAGAACTTTTCTATTTTCTTAATGAAATAGACAGCTGTCCAATGTCGTTCAATTAACGATCGGAAGTAGCTGTTGGTCACAAAGGATTAATTGAGGGTGGACCACCACCATGGTATAATAACATACGAGAGAGAAATCACTAGGGACTCGTTTCACTTAATTTCTTTCTTACATTCATACATAAGGACGTTATTGATATGAGAATCTAAATTGTAAATAAACATTGGACAAGTCAAATAATGAAAAGGTTTCATAATAAAAAAAAAAGAATAAGTTGATTAAAAAGTAAAAAAAAAAAAAAGTGAATTGAATAAGTGAAAACAACATAAATCATATTTGGCTTATTGCAATTGATTTTTGTTATTTTTCTATTGTCAATAAATCGAAATATATTTGGGTGGTACACACAAAGAAAAATTCAATCAGTTCTTATTTAAAACATTGAAATACGAAATTTTCATTAACAAACTATAAAAGTAAAAAAGAATATAAGCATGATAAAAAAACCAAAGCCAACAACACGTCCAGTTCGTCGAATAAATTTATCATTACCAGTGATTCAAACTGATGCATATGAAATTTATTATACAATACCTCCATCGCATGCTCAACAATCATCAATAATACGTCCAATAACACGTCGAAAACCTCTTATTGATAATAATAATAATAATAATAATAATAATAACAATAATAATAGCAACAATAATAATGATAAGTCGAATAATGAAGCAACAAGAATTCAATCTCCAGGTCGTCCTAAACATCTTACTGGTCCAGTATTAGTTAGTTTATTTGTTGAAATGCCTCCAATACCGACAGATTCAACATCTACAATCGCTGATGCTATATCACATGCATTGATTAATTCTGGTTATTCTGGACAAACATTACGTGCTCTACCAACCATAGCAAAACAAAATAAACATCCAAGTACAAAAAATGATGATGCAAAATCTCAATCATCATCTGGTGATAGACTTTTATATGAATCACTTGTATCATTTGATGATGCTCGTAAAAATAAAAGAAAAAATAAATCGTATCAAAATGTTCATCATCCACAATTTACAACAGTTAAAGTTTTACAAACACGAAGAACAACAAAACGTATATTTGATTCTAATGATATGCATTTAAAATTACCAAATATATTTTCAGTAGAAAATCTCTTACACGAATCAATTATATCATCTCGTCGACGTCTTCATGAACAAGTTGAACAATTAACAAAAAATTATTTTCCAACAATACAACAACTTCGTCGTAGTCATCCTTGTTCTGAATTAACCAATAATCGAATGCATTTACATCGTGAAGAAAAACGAGATTTTGCTCCGGTATCTTCTCGTTCACGTGTAGTTCGATAAAAAAAAAAAAATTGATATTATATTTTTCTTTTATTATGTTCATATGACATTTGTAAATAGAACTCATAATAGAAATATTCTTTCATGTATGCCAACATTTATCTGAACTCATCTTAATAAACTTTAATGATGTCATTTCTTTTTTCTATTTAAAAGAAAAGATAACATACCAATAAGGTTAAAATAACTGTCATGTTTCTAAAACTAACAAAGGAGAGAGAAATAAAAAAAAGTGCAGCAAAATGTTTCTATTGTATAAACATCATAGTGATTGTTAAAAAAATGTTCACTATATGGAAAGTATTCAATTTAAAGAGTTGATGCATGACTTGTTATGAAACGAAGACAAAATTATCGAGTATCTGTGTCTAAATTAGTCTTAGATAAAAGTCTAGTGATTTATTCTCTTGTTTATCTATATTCGTCTAAATGGTTTGAATTGAAAGAATTTTAAATAATGATAAAAGATTTTGTTTTTTGTTTTTCGTATGTAATGTCATTATTTTCTTCATTCCTACAATAGTAATATACATTCTCTGATGTTCTATTCTTTTTTCCTAAATGTCAATGTTAAAATAGACTTTCCTATTCGAGATTTTCAATCAGAAATATGTATCATTGAATATTCAAAATAGAACAATTTTAGTATTTGTTTATTAATGTCCCGTGCATATGAAGAAGTCAATCTAATATATACGTTCTTGTTAAAAAAAAAAGAATCAGTTTAGAAAATAAAAACACTCGAAAGTGCTTGTGGTTCTTTTTAATGAGTTTTTGTAATATAAAAGCTATTTATTGCAGGTCAATTAATTTCAGTATGTGAAAACTGAGGAGTTTAATTTAGCATATTTCTAAAAAATAATTCAGTTGTATTATCCTGAACTATTTCATGTATTTGTGGATACAAGATAAAAGATATGTCATATAAAGTAATGTGGCAATTCTACTGAAACAAAAAAAGCTTGTGCTTTTGATCTTGGTTGCTTACCATCTTCATCTAACTTTGTTCAATCGAGTTGAAGTTCTTACTACTGATGTTTAAAAGTATTCTCTATGAATAAAATTAGTGGTTTTCTTTTTTAATTTGCCTACTACAACTTATGGAAGTCTGAAAGCCAAGATCACAGTTTCGACTCCCAACTTTGACGTACTTTTCTCGTAAAAAAGAGAAAATGAGATTTTTGGAAAATCTTAAAATTATTCTTGAGATATAACTTGATAGGTATCTCTAAAAGAATGAAAAAACTGCAAAATCTCCATTTCAAAATTGTTTTTTCTTGAACACATGTCTCCTTATTTTGTGTTTATGTAAAACTTTCAGCTTGATCAATTGTAACGTCGTCTTTGAGAACCTGAAACGATCGAAAAAGAGGCACAGTACTCTCAAGAAAAGTTGGATTTGTTAGAAAGAAGCTGTATTCAATTATCAGCTTCAAAAAGAACTTTTCAAAAAAAAAAAAAAGAATGAATGATAATGTGAGATTATGTATTTTGGTGCTTAGAAGCACATAAATAACAAAATTGGAATAAAAAAAAATATACACAAAACACCAGTGAATAGCAAACAATTCATCTATAATAAAATACAACACGTAACGAATGTTTGAAAGACAATAATTCGCTGTAGAGAGAAATTGAAAAAAAAATTGTTTCAAGAAGTTAAAAATGGATGAGTTAATAGATCTTTTGCCGATGGTCTTGCTGTTGGATCACGTGTTAAACATAAACGAAAAAATTCTTGAGCTGTTGCTGGACAAGTATCAGGTAAATCAGCCGGCGGTTTTGTACCATTAGCTAAACAATTATTAAAATTAATTTCTCAAATTAAATTAAATTAAATCTTACCAATAATTAATAAAACAGCTAAATGATTATGTTCAGATGCCCATGGTGGTTTTCCTGTTGCCATTTCACATAAGGTACATCCTATTGACCAAATATCAGCTTTTTTTCCATGTCCAGTCTCTGCTATGACTTCAGGTGCCATCCAATTAGCTGTACCTATAAGTAAATTTAGTTTCAAATGTCAATGAAGAAGTTTTGTGTTGTTAAACCTTTCATTGATTTAAGTATTTGTCGCATTGAATGTGTATTTTGATTTTTCTTTAATCGTTTTGCACAACCAAAATCAATTAATTTTATATTACCATCAACATCAAGCATAACATTTTTTCCTTTTATATCTCTATATAAAGAAAATAAATAAATAAATGGAAAACAAGTAGAATTTTTACCGATGAACAACACCATTTTCATGAAGATAAGCAACACCTTCAACAATTTGTCGAGTATATTTTTTTAAAACATCATTATGAAATGGACCAAAAGCTGTTAATAAATTTTCAATAGTACCATTTGGAAGATATTCCTAAGGAGAAAACTTCATTTACTATACTATACGATAATTAAGTTTTTTTCTTCTTTACCATAAAAATTTTTATCAAACGTGTATTTTCTAATGAGATACCGAGAAATCTAAATTTTATATAATTTTGACGTAATTCTATATAAATTTTTATTTCTTACTTGACAACATATGGATGATTAAGTGCTCGAAGTATATGAATTTCTTCACGTACTGATTCATAATCATTACGTACACGTTCACTGTCACCTTCATCAAGTTCGATTTCTTTAACAGCAATCATTCTTCCAGTTATTGTCAAATATGACCAAACAATACCATATGCCTATAGAAATAAAAGTTTTTTTTTTTTTAAATATTTGTCCTAGTATGATCGATATCAAAGATGCGTTTTAGTCATCATTCAATATATTTATTTAGTTCATAACTGCTGTGAATTAAGATTAACTGTCCTTGATGAGAATCGAAATTTTTCTTATTGACTTTTTATGAATTGTTAATGGGTTTAATTTTTTTTGGTTTTATTCTCTAATTCATCTCTACTCTCGTTTGAATATCGAAAATGTCTTATTCAATTTAAGTGAGAAAATAAGCTTCGAAATTTTATTAGTAATTCATTTATTTATTATTGTATTGCTTCATTTAATTCATTTTAAAGTAGATAAGGTGAAAAGATGAGTTCGTGCAGCTTGTCTTGCTAAGTGTCATGGCAGAAAAAAAAAACAAAAATAGACACTTACTCCTCGTCCAACTTGTCGACCTTTTCGAGCAGTTCGATAGATATCATCACAATCAGTTTCAGTACATAATGGTGTTGTATTATAATCTTCATGACTACTTGTTGAATCAATGGTTTCACTACCTTGAAAAGAAAAATATTTCATTACAGAAAAATCTAACAAATATTATTTGATTGTTACCTCGACTATTTAAACTATCATTGACAACACGAAAAGCTGGTCGAACAGAAAGACCCGTATCTGAATTATTGTATGTATGTGTAATACTAGCAGAAGGTTCAAATGGTAATGTTTTATTATTAGCTGATGTACTTGTTGTTGATGATGGTATTGATGATTTGACTAGTACAATGTCTTGTTCATTTGTTTGTGATGGTAATGAACGAAGTGATGTATCTTTACGTATTGAATCTTTCACTGTTTCATATACAGTACGAATATCGGAATTAATAAGTGAAGATTCGTTTGGTTTTGGTGGTTGAGGAGAAGTTTGAGATATTGGTTCAATAGGATGTTCGATTGTTTGAGTTAAAACAGGACTGATTTCAACTGCTTGTAAGGATTCCATACTAATTCGTCTCTGTTTAATAAAGAAGAAAAAACGTTTTAAAGATTCCGATGAAATGCTCAGCAAGATAAGCTATGTTATTTCCCATAAAAGAGATTGAATCATAAGTTAACGACATAACACTTTACGAAATTATAACATGTGTATCTTGGGATAATAAACTTTTCTAGAATTAATTTTTATATGTTACATGTATGCTATTTTACTCTAGATATACAAATGGTACGAATCCTTCTTTAGCATCTTTATATGATAGTAAGACAAAAATCTATGGTAAAAATATCTATTCAGAGAAATAATCTTTATCTTTGAAGATGATACAATAAAAAACATACCGGAATATCATCAAAACTTGTCATAACTGTTGTTTGTGATACATCTAGATGATCTGTAGGTGAAGGACAAGATGGTATATCTTCATCATCTACTGTAGGTATTTGAAATAATTGTGAAAGTACAGATTCTTCTTGATTTATAACTTGTGGTTTAACTGTCATGACCCAATCAGTTCCGCCAATAATAATTGCATTTTCATTAGTTTTTTCTTCTTGATTTATTTCTGTATTTGTACTTTGACATTTCATTTCAGTTTTTTCAATAACTTTTACTAATATTTTAGGTTTATTTGTAATAATTGTCTTTTTTAGTTTGGGACTTTTAATAAAATTTCTTCGTTGTTTTTTCATTTTAGCAGCTAATAGTTTTGTTTGATGTATTGGTTCAGGTTTTACGATAGACTTTTGTGTTTCAATTATTGATTCTTCAAATAAATCAGTTATTAATGGTTGACCTTTTAAACTTCCTCGTCGTTGACAATTAATTATTGTAGATGTAACAGCTCTTGTTATTGTTTGTGGATAATCAGCATCAACTGTTTTTTCTCCTTCTAATGATAATGGTTTTGGTACTGGATTTGAACATTGACGTGAATAATTTGAATTCGAACGAGGTGATAAATGACGTTTTGGTTCAGTAGGAATATCTAATTTTAATTGTTCGATTTGTTGAGAAACAGGTTCGACATTTACATTTGCAAAAGGTAATTCTTCTGTTTTGACAGTATTTGTTATTTGAGTTGTTTCAATAGATGCAGCCGTAGGAAAAGAAGGAATGACGTCACTAATACAAAAAAAAAAAATACGTCATTCAAAGCAAGACAAAAACAACAAAATTCATATTCTACTTGTTAGATTGAATGATTTCTTCATCGGGTATTGTTGGATTAATTTTAACTTTTGGTACATTAGTTTTTGTTGAAATTTTTGTTTTATTATTTATTATCGATGGTTTTTTATTTGTTGTAATATTAGATTTAGATTGTGGTTGAAAAATATCTAAAGAAAATTTTCCTAGACGTTGATTATTTGTATTCGTTGCAATATTATTATTAGTTGTTGTTGGAATTTTATTTCGAATAGGAACTGTTGGATTTTGCCGATCAACACTATGTACACGACGATTATCAACAATAGGTTTTTGTAATCGTGGTGCAACAATAGGTTTAACTATTGGTGTTTTCTGTATAGCTGTAGGAGAATGCATAGTTTTATCTGATGGTAGAATATTCGATTCACGATGAAGACTTTTCGAAAGTAAACGTCGTGTAAATTCTTTTTTTTCTTCTTGTATAGCCGATGTTTCTTCGGCAGTAATTAATGGAGGCGATATACTTGGTGGTGGATTTGTTGATGGAATTGTTAATGATTTTGTTAAGTTGGAAGGTGGATCAATTGGTATTGGTGGTAAAGGTGTATATGATTGGCGAATACTTCCAGTAAGACTTTCACATACTGTGTCAAACGTATCTTCACGACGAAGTTGTACTGAATCAACAGGAATACCAGTGTGACGTTGAAAAAGAATTGACGAACGACGACTGCAAGCACTGCTAACAGACCGACGACAATAACGCGACGACTAAAAAAAAGAAAAGTAAAAATAAACGAAAGGAAAAAAGAAGAAAAAGAAAATTCTTATGTTTGTGAAAGAGAAACTCAAGAAGGAAAGAATTTAATAGAACGATAGAATCTTAATTTTGTTATTATTTAAATTCATAAATTATACAAACTGAAATTCGATCACTGATAGGTGATGGAAATGCATGAACTGGATCATCATGTTGATTATCAGAAGATAAAGGAGCATCTTAAAAAATAAGAAACGATACAGAACAAAAATTTTTATAAATAATTAAATCTTTACCAAATACTAGATTTGATTTTCGACCTTGATCTAGTATATGTTCATAACTGTAAAGAAAGATATTCAATAAAAGTCAAAATGAAAATTTTTCTTTTTTTTTATAACCTTGATTTTAAACATTTTGGAACTGTCCAAGCTAAAAACAAAACGCAGCATGAGTTTCATAAAAAGTACAGACATTTAATAATTTACTTTTAGGTGGATAAGTATCGAGTAACATAAGTACATCTGCTTGTGACCTAAGAATAGAAAAAAAGAGTTTGAAAGAATGAAATTTATTATTAAATTTACTTTTGAAATATAACTCGTGAAGTTTCGAGGTCATCTAGAGAGAAAAAAAATAATTAATAATACAAATATATTATGTAATCATACCATCATCAAGAGGAAGTATACGATCATCAGTTGTTACATCTGCTGTTAATGGTTTTGATTTTTTTAAAATTGAAGTTGGCAGATCTCCATTAGTTACTGTGGTTGTTGTTGTTGGTTGTTCATTAGTAATTGGAATTGGTGGTAAACGTTGTCCATTAATTTTACCTTTAAATGATGTTGATAGATTTTTTGTTGTCATTGATAGTTGACTCTATATTGTATATTACAGTTCAATAAAAGATAGAGACTTCATCACATTTGTCCCGAACACACCTTATCAAAAGCGAACAAAGTAAACAGAAAACACAATAGAAAAAAAAACGTTGACGAGATGTCGTGTATATGTGTGTTTGTGTGTAACGACATAGTTTCAAATTTTTCTTTCGCTCTTGCTCTCTCTCTCTCTCTCTCGTCTTTCAATCGTTTTCTTCATACATTTCTTTTTTTTTTGCTGCTTTCATGATTGCTTTATATAAAAGAATAATCACATTTGCTTGACTTTTTTTCTTTTTGAACCAATCTACAAGAATATTTTCTTTTCAACATTATTCTTTTAGTTAAGTTCATTGTACACATATTATCAAACGAATTTTTATTATTGAGTTTTAATTATAAAAATAGATTTCTTACTATTGTGTTTCGAAAATAATTTTGAATTAAGGTATTATAACCAGGCATACTTCAGAGTATGAACTAGGCATATTTTCTGTCACACACATATCAATCATGACATACAGAGATTGTTTTGAAAATGTATTCGAATTGCTTTCGATTGATCTTTTTTCTTCTTGCAATTCTGCATCTTCATACAGACGTTACAAAAAATGGGATTAGTAATGATGCATGTTTTAAAGAATGATTATAGTTACGAAATCATTAAAAACGTAAGTTATCAACTTTTTATTGATAGATGAAATATTTTTGTTCCTATCGGAACTTAAATTGCCCGTATAAAGTGAGAGAATTCTTAAAAACACTACTTACATTCTTGCACTTGATTCACAAGAATATTTTTGTCATTGATCGGCTAAGTAAGACCAAATGATTTTAAATGCTTTTCTGTCAGTTATCTTTGATTCGACGAACTTGTTGAATCAAACTGCCTTTATTTTCTCTTTTCTCGAATAATAACTACCAATTTAAGGTTCAATGTTGTTTCAATAAGCATGTAATTTATTAATTGCTAAAGATTGATCAGCTGATTTGAACATATAATTATGATTAATGAAGGCTATACTTAGTAAATAATGCGGTGCAAAACACAGCATTTCTGTAATCGGTCGTGTAGGCATTCGATCTCCATACTTCGCATGTTTTCTACTGTAGCAAAATGTGTACTTTTTGTCGTAATATTCTAGAGAACAGTAAGTCGTTAGAAATTCATTCGAACTATGTCAGCATGATCTATGTCGAGTAATGATACAAAGGTTTTTGAACCTTCGCTATGAGTTTTCCTGCATCTTCACTAAATTCTTCAAAACGCTAATTTTGACGATTTGGCTTCCATCTTTTACCAGAAATAATCAAAGCTTACGACAAGACAGAATCGACTTTTAGGTAAAACCGTTTGTCGTTCTTATGTCAATTGAAGCTTCATTGCCGAATATTGAGATCCCTTCGCATCATCAGTTACCATATTCTGTTGCAATGATCTCGAGAACGAGGAGTTAGAAAACACTCAGATAGACGAACGTGCAAAAGGAAATGATGCATTTTACAGGATTTTTCCATAAGAGGCAATGAACTTTGACAAGTTCAATTTACTCTATATTCACTTGAAGCGAATAGTACTTAGAACATTAAATTAAAATAATTTTTGGTGCAAAAAACTAGCACACGACATCCTTCGTGTTCTTACACATTCTGTTTTTATAAAACAGATATGCATAAGGGTGAGTTTCTAGATAAACTCCAATTCACCATGTTTTTGAAGAAAAACAGATGTTTCATCATGTATTTTACATGGAAGTCATCAATGAAAAACGATTTCACTCAACAAAAGAATTGAACAGTTAACTCATTTGAAATCTTGTAAAAATTTGATGATTCAAATAAAATTACAAGAAAACTATAATTGGCGAATTTTAGTTTTTGTGAAACATGAAAGTTATGGATTAAAAATAGTGCACAAGTACTGAAAGTCCTGTGATGATTTTCATTTCTTGTGGAATAGCGAAATTCATCAATTTCTTTTCATTATTTTATTCCATGGGTAAAGACTCTTTTTTTCCGTATCAAACTCTTATAACTATTTGAAATCAAAACAGATTATATATATATAAATAGCAAGAATAAATAAAAATTTAAATCTTGCTCACGATGTAGTGAACAATAAAATTAAGTAAATATTACAGTTTGATCAATGAGTAGTTGAATACTTTTGAAAAAAAGACAAACAGCATGCTGTGGTTTCAATGTGAATATTCTCTTCACCAACATGCACAACCACTCACACTCACACAATCACCATTTGACAGATCTTGATAAAAAACATCGATTAGCATGCAATATAGAATGAATCTATGAGCTCTAGTCAACGATTTTCATGAGTTTCTTAACATTATTTGGTAGATTTCGTCCAAATCTATCGATTGATATGACATTCGAACTGGACTGCTACCATTGGAGAAAATTACTAATTGATACTTGTCAGAAAAATCCATTATTAGTATGCAACAGGAATCATATCGTTATATAAGGAACGGCAAAAAAAAACGTTTCTCATCTGTTCATACGCCATTCGACCGAGAACTAAAATAACTTGATTTGCCATACAGATCAGCTAAATATAGAAGTGCATGACTGAAGTATTATCGATGAAAACACTGCATACCTTCGCATATGCATCTGGCCTCCATACTTTGCGTATTTTTCGCTGTAAAAAAATCTGTACTTTGTGTTGCGATGATCTCGAGGACAGAAAATCATAAAATACTCATTCAAACGTGATTTGAAAGTATCGAGATTCAACTTAGACTATGTTTTTTCAATCCATCCTAGGACGGTCGCCCCTTAGCTAATAAATAGAGTCTGAAAACGACAAATTTTTCAGAACTTAGTTTTATTTTTCGTTTTGAGATAATTAAAATGAAGAAACTAATAAAAGTTAGGCGTTATTACTCTCTTTACTCGTGTATAAAGCAACTGTGAATACAATGAATTATAAATAATGAACCATACTGATAGTAGCGCTTGCACAACAATTAGCGTTCATCTAGACTCGATTCACTTGGCTTTAGAATGACGAAATAGATAGATAAATATGCATTAAGTACTAGATAAATGCAAATGATGACTTGACATATAAAAGCGATTCGTTTTACACGACCTATTTTTTGCATAACGTACTACTTGATTTTTATGTTTGTAAAGAAAAAACCGATTTTGATAAACTACAGTTATCTAACGAACTTTTGTGCTATATGATCGAACTTTTTGATCGTTGTACTGTTATAACTCAATTCGTTTTTTCTTTAATATCAATTTTAAAAATTTTATGCTCAATATTTGAAGATTTCAAATACAAAACTTGAAATGAAAAATTTCTCGACTTTTTCATCGTTCATATTATTGCATATCCTCTTTATGTTTAGAATAGAATGCATATTATATATATATACATTGATTTATAAAGATTACATCGAAATCAATACAATCATTTAATGATAATCATACGTTCAGACTCACTGTCTAACTCATAATACATATTGCATCACATCGTCGCGTATACAGCATTGAACAATCGATCGCATCATTCAATAATTTAATAACAAATATTGTTACTTCTAAAGGTATCCCAAGTCAAACAAGAACAACACTAAATGGTCGCATATTAACCTATCATATGGCTTTGTATTATCACCGTATTTCTCCACATATTAAAATACAATCGTATACGATGAAATATGGAGTGTATAAGAGTTTCCTATTTCTTCGTCCACGAATATATTACTCCTCGATAATTTGTAATAGATATCATATGACCATTAGGTTAATCTTTACATTATGAAACAAATACAAATTATTTTAAGCAATAACCAAAATATAATAGTTTTTTCACTTCAATTTGAAAGTTCGCTATTATTTTGTTTGTTACAGAAAATCTGATCAATACGTGCCTAATGAAATCCAAATAAACCTATTATCCGTTTCCGTCAACCAGCTATGCATAATCTGCGTATTTTTTGTGAAACTCACATTCTGTTTAACAATCTTTGGATACATTTTTATAACAGCCAAGAACAATAGGTTTCAGATTCCTTTTCCAAAGTTTCTTAGCAACAGAAAAAAAGCACTGAACAGCACTAAAAACCAGACTTTAGATTGTTGTAGAACGTTCCAAAGCCTTTGTCGAACTTGTCATGGCTGAAATACGTTTGTAATTATTCTAAATAGTACAATTTTTGATTTTGGCGCAGATAAAAATTTATATTCACGATTCCAAAGATGATGGGTAGTGATACATTGGTTGGTCATAATCGTCATATAATCAACATAAAAAGCGTAAATCGATCAAGTTATTACTTTAGGAAATGATCAATATCAGTTTCCGTCGTAAACTTATGGACTTATATCATAGTGTGTTAAGATCTGCTGTAGATATATTACATATATCTGACAGATGTATGTGCCAGTCAAATCAATGATTAGAATAATAATAATGTTAAATTAAGAAAGACAGAATACGAAAATGAAAAACCGTGAGTGAAAGGCATCAAAGCATAGAGAACCAATAAAAAATAAGAAGAAATTTCTGTTTGACATGTAGACATAAATAAGACAGATCGTTTTCCGGGCGATTGATTATCCTTGGAAAACAACTATGGTATGCTAGAAATATTTTCCTTTTATGTATTTTGTATTAGTGTAATGAGACTAAAGAACACATCCGAGTTCCGCACTCTAGCTCCGATGGGACTGCGCTGATACGTTCTTTAACATACTAATATTATGACGATAATTGAATGGAAACAGACGGCTGTTCTATAGTGCAAAGGCAAGAAAATCATGCACACCGACACCATATTACTATATGAAACATTTATTAAGTAGACATAATATGCATCTGCCAATAATAAATAACAAAGAAGACATGAACATGCAGAAAAAGAAACTGTGCTTTTCAGTAATAACCTTTTGAATGAATTTTTTGATGAACTGGTTTAAGAGCATGTCTCATATATTGCTATATTACAACAATCTAAACATGAATCAGGAAACAATAGGCATTAGTCAATATGTATGTAAGAAAATAATAATAACCGATTAGAAATTATAAACAGTAACTTAGTGAAACAAATAAACACACTAAATAAATAAATGGACAATGAATAATATTGTTAAAATCTATAATTAGCCATGATTATATCCAGTGAAAACAAAAGTACACAAACAACAACAATCATGATTCATATTCTAGTGACAAAACATGACTCACTGTATATTTTATTACCTACATTGCTTCTTTAAAAAACGAATTAGTCTTTTGAGAATATACGAAAGACATGGTAGTTATGCGTCCTAGTAATTTTAACAGACCTTACTAGTTCGTGACAGACATTAGAATTATTAGAGCCTGCCTCTTTCTATCTTAGGCAAATTCGATGACATATTGGAATCTCTGTGATGCCTAATTCTATGTTAATTTAATTGTATGATTTCATTTATGCATTCAACTTCTAAATTAATAATAATCAAACTTCATCTTCTCGCAAATTATATTACTTTAAATACGTGTTCAAAATCTAATCTATTAATAAATCTTCCTTAATATAGAAATTCATCATCTTCATATAAAAGAACATCAATTTCAGTATTTAAAATAAACCGAAATAATCATAATAAACATCAATATTTTTTACTTAGAAAAAAAAAAGATATATAATGAGAAGAAAAGCGAATGCAAAAAAAAGAAAACGTTTATACACAGAAGAGTCAAACATTGACTTTTGATTAAAATGAAGCATGCATAGAAAAAAAAAGTGTTTTCGATTTAGTTCAAAGTAGTCCAGCATCCATTAATGAATTCATATCTTGAACAATTTCTTTAATAATTGCACGATTGGCTGTTGAATTTGTATTAAAAACATATTCAATAAATTGTAAATTTGATAAATAATTAAAAATATAATCGATACGTATATGAGATTTTTGTGTTAAATGTGTTGATATTATTTTATGTGTTAAATCTTGACATTCTTTACACATACGTGTTAAAAAAACACGATCAAATGTATAATCAACTTCATAAAATGTAACAATTGCTTTTGATAATGAATGAAAACGATTACGAAAATCTTCAATTAATTTTATTTCATATTCAGTAAATAAATTATTTTTATATAATATACCCAATTTAACAATTGTTTTTATTATTGATTTAAGTAATTTGTCAGCGTCCTTTTTACTATCTGAATAAGCACGTGTTAATTTATGTAAATTGTCTAATACACGACTACTTGTGTCATCAATAAAAACTTTGGCAACTGATTTTGATGAAAGTTTACTAAAAAAAGAAGAAAAAAAAAACATAATTCTGTATAGTTGTTGTTTTTCTTTTCTCATATGGAATTTTATTACCTTAGTAATTTTTTTTGTGCACGAACACCAAGACTTTGAGCTGAAGCACTTACTGAAGTTTCTTCTTCATCAGCTAGAAAATATAATAACAAAAAGAAAAATTAATTATATCATATTTCTTAATTAGTTTTGATTTAATTTCAGCAAGTTGTATTATCAAATCGGATTAATTCATTTATTATTTCGTTAGATTTCTATATGAAGATAGTGATTGTTTAAGATTAACAATGGAAATAAAACTTCTGTAGAGCTCGTTTTTTTTTTTTATTCGTTTTGAGATTATCATTTGTATAGGAAATAAAGGGTATTAATTTTAAGAAAAACGAATCATCGACATTCTTTGTTCGGAATTTTTTTTTTCGAAAAAAATAAGCAAGTTCATATAGGTCATCTATATGACTGTATGCGATCGAAAAAGATACTAAGTTCGTAGTTAAGAAAGTGAAGTTAATAGTTATACGTATAGAAAATTTTATTTCGTTATTTTACATTGACAATATCAGCAGGTAAAATATACCAATATATTTCTTACTAATATAATTGTATTCAATTGATTCTTTTCAATGATAGAAATAAATAATAATTAAAAAATTTCTTTTTCAATAAAAACTAATAATGAATACTCACACTCAACAAATCCTTCCAGTTGACTGGCAAGTTGCTGTGAAACAGAAGTTGATGTTGTTGATGTTGCTACTGACTTCTTATTCGTTTTAGATGTCATTCTACAATGTCTTCTGATATGATTGTCTCGTTCGTTTTCTTTTAGCACGTCACAAAATATAATTCTACTATTTTAAGTGTTACAATAAGTAGTTGATAGGATGATCATGTCTCGTAAGTGTATAATGTGTTCAGTTTAGTAGCTGTTACTTGTTTTTGTCGAGCTTCTCTTTTTGTAAACTTTTTTTCTCTGTTTTTTTCTCAGTCGCCGGGTTCGATGAAGATGATAGGTAGAATGAAGTAGAAAGAGAGAAAGAAGAGGAACAAAAACAATCTAGATAGCAAATAACGTTTCAAAAAAATAGAACTTGCAAACTTGATTTATTAGTACTCAACCAAAGCATATGGCCAGATGTTCTTTTTTTTTGCTTCTTCAAACTCAGTCGTGACTACAGACAATGATTATTATACATGAAGAGAAAAAAAAAAGAATATTTATATTGATTCTTTTCTAGTCAGAAGAACAAAAAAAAAAGTTTTTTATATAAAAAAAAGAATCTTGTCATATTACAAGAGAAAACGAGCATGTGTGTCAAGCGATAACATATGCGTAAAAGCATAATAGGAAAAGTCAGGTGTAATCTTATTTCTTGCTTTTTTTTTTCTTCTTATCTGATTGTAATAATGAAAGAAACATACTCATCATTTCCAAACTACCATGTTACTTACATTTCTTTTCCTGTTCAATGATTGGTATCCTTGTTTCATTAAAAAAGCTTTATGATAGATGACAACGGAAAATAAAAAAGCATTCATGTGTCTATGACATGGAATGCTTGAAGGAATTTATTCATGTAAATAGTGAAAAACGTTAATCATAACAATAGCCTTTAAAAAAATATTTCAACTGAAAAGAAGTAATTTTTCTATTCATTTCATGTGAGAATATTATCTGTAACAAGATTAAATCTTGTTATTATTATTTTTTAATAATAATCATAAAGTTAGGCTTTTTTCTTTTCGAATCAAATGAAACACTTGTACATACCACTATCATCTTCATCATCACTTTCTTTGAGATATTTTTCAACTATTTTATTTGTTCCGTCATTTGGATTGATGGTTGTTGAAATTTTTTTATCTGTCATGATTTTGTTCTAAATAAATAAGGAATTATAAAAATAGTCTTCTTTTTTTCTATATGAATAATTTGAATGAAAAGAATTTCTGATTATCTTCTAAAATTCTTACACTTCAATAAATAAAACTGTTTACTACGTAGATAATAACAAAACAAAGTTTTAAATTTTCTCACTTTCGTAATAACGATATTCTTGTTTTTTTTTTAATTCTTGTAAATATATTTTTAGTATCTCAACAAAACTTTGTGCAAAAAATAATCTAAAAGTTATGTGAAATGAGCTTTAGATTATCTATTCATAGTCACTATGGTCATTTGATATTTAAGCAAGTGTATTTCCGAGATCAATTATTAAAAAAAAACGGAAATGCTATTTAATACTTTTACAATAGAAAGAGGGGATAATTCAATTAGAGACTCATGAATTTGTTTTTTTTTCACTGAATCAAGTTAAAAAAGATTTCAAAAATTTCTATCAGGTAGACTGAGAGACCTTAAATCAGGTACTCAAAAAATTTTCAAATTCCCAAAGGTATCGAAGTTTTTAATCATTTATTTATATTTAGTCGAAATTTGATGCTTTGAATTGGATTATTATCTTCATTAATAGTACAAAAAGAAAGAAATTTGTTTTTAGGTCAAAGTTTGTTAAATCTATTCTAAATTTGCTGTTATTTTTATCAGTTCGTGATTAGAATTGTTACAAAATATAACTTACTCTGAGTGCAGATTTTTTTGTAATGTAATGAAAGAGAAAGATCAATGATCTCTAATGAAGATCACGTAATCGAGAAGAAAAAAAACAGGTATCTTTATTGCTGATTTATCTCAATCTTCACTTAACCTAATTGCTGTTGACGTGTGCGTGATAGTACGATGTGTTAAGCTTTTGTCGATCGAATCGCTTTCTTCTTTATCTCTCTTTTACACACGATCTATTCATTTGGTTATACTATATATGAAAAAAAAAACGAGAGAGAGAGAAAAAGCAGAACAAGAGTTAGATCATCGTAATTGTTATTATTATGTTGTGTCGAAGTGAATGAGTCAGTACGATAGGCATGTGCTATCCTTTAACTATTAGTAGTAACTTGCATTCTATCGTGTATTGCCCTCAACAAATATATGGATACTAACTGACACATAAGTGACATATGCTTTCAACTAGTTTTGTTTCCTTTTCTTTATAATTAATTGTTTTACAACAAATTATTGGGTAAATAATTTCAAGAAGTCTTGCGTAATTAATAATCAGAAAACGAAGATTTACAATAGTAAATCTATATAAAAGTAAATATATTAATAAATGAAATGAATATAAGCTTAAAATATTTGTACTAAATGAGCTCATTAGTTTAATATAAAAAAGAAAAAAACTTAATGAAAGTAGAAATTGAAAAAACAAATGTTCTTGAAATATTTGATTTATTATAATATTATTCATCTATTTATCTTTAGTATTTATTTGCTTATCTATGTAATAATATTCTTATATTTCTATTTGTATGATGTAAATGTTTATCATATGTTGATGAATTATTTCAATAATCTACTACACAGATTGTACACTAATTTTTTAAACTAAGATATGTATTAATTTGTATATTATCAAATAAGTGTTTCGTTGATTGATAAGAAAAATAAAATTATGCATAAATATATGGATAATATTATTTTCCTTAATTGTTTGCTTTACTCTATCATACCAACAGTGAAATATAAATTTCGCATTAGAAGAAAAGATAAACAAGATTTGTCTTTAGTTGCAAGTTGAATGAAAGCGCGTATGTAAACGACTTAAATGTCATATATGAAATATAGATCAAGATTTCTTCATATGAATTAATTGAGATTGAATTTTTGAATGCTTAACTTTACCATTATTTCATACAAAAATAAATGTCATAGAATGTTATGGAAAGAAATACATATAGAAATAAAGTAATAATTCGAAAGTTATTTGAGGACTCTAGAAAGTGTGCTAAACATTATAATTTTCTCTGTATTCATATTAGGCAAAGTCTATTCTTCTAAACATTTTTTATGAATAAATACCTATTTTACTGTATTTAACAAATGGATTGTAGAAAGATAAACTCGATACAGAAGACACTGAGGTCTCTGTTTGCTTGGTTTCTGTGCAAATTTAAAAAACTTAGAAATCAAAAATTGAAATATAGTTATCGTGTAGGAAAGAATTTTAATTATTATTCTTTTCTATAGGAAATTCTTAATCATACTAAAACTATTTGATTTTAAGAAAAATTTTACTGTCAGTAATGATTTGAAAATTTTCTTTTCGTCGATACTTTGTAAAATTGATTAACAACTAAAATATAAAGTCAATAAAGAATTTA